TATATCAGCATACCCTTCCAGGCTCTGAAGAAGGCGATACTGCCGAAACGTCAGCTCGCGTTGTATTGTATTGTGTTCTTCTATGGAAGTAAATGTATGCTGTTTAAAAACCTCGCGATTGCTGCACAAGAAAACGACACAGCTGATAAAAAGTTTACGAGTGATAAGTAATGCGAGAGGAAGGAGGGGTTGTCACAAAGGTCTGGACAAATTCTTTGCATTCTTTTCGTTGCGTCATTGGTTCTTCTGTAGGTGCCCGATATGAGTGATGTCATGTCGTCTTCACTGTTGTAGCCGGTCTTTGCGAACAAAGTAATGACAATAGTAAAATACACCACGATAAAATGAACTGTCGTCAATGGTTTATAATCGCTTATTATTCTCCAACTCTTTTCTGCTTTATGTAGAAATGAATCTGTTTGTCTCATTACCACTGTGACAATGACGTATATTTTCCTAAGTTTCTTCTCCTGAGGTCCCAAGAAATCCGTCCCAGGGCTTCTCAAACTCTCTACCACGCCCACTCTGTCCCGATATGTGTCGCCAGAAAGGAGGATTATTTTCCAGCTTATGACTAGGTTGCTACCGGAACGATAGCTATACCTAGTATTGGCTTGTTCTTAACTGGGGTTGCCAAGATGGGAATGTCGTACGGCCTCCTTAGACTTTCCTGTAGTTGTGTTCTAAATAGTTAAGAAACTATTTGCCTTAATCACATCCTTAACCTTTTTATTTACTGCCTATACTTTTTTTAATGGCAGGGTTTGTTGCGAAATATAAATGCTATGATGCTGAGATATTTGCAAAACTCTAGACCGCAGGTGTTTCGGTAGGAAACGAACGCCCTACTACGCTTTGCGGGGGCTAACGCGTTCACCACCACACCATGCAGATGCTTCATTTCACCTGTTTCTCATTTAGTTCTATCGATCACTCCCATCAGCAATCACCCGTTAGCGAGGCTGATCTGGGAGCTCAAATCGGCAATGAGCCTAGTTAAACTAAGGCTGTAGTTGGATCTCAAGTTTAACCTTTTTATTTACTGCCTACTCTTTTTTTTAGAGTGTGGTGTGGCGAACGCGTTAGCCCCCCAGAAAGGACAATATCGCGTTCGTTCCCCACCGCAAACACCTGCGGTCTGGAGTTTTGCAAATATCTCAACATCATAGAAGTTACCTCAAGCTTTTTAATGTTTGCTGACAATGTGAGCTTCCTTAATCTACCGTAAACCGGATGTCCTTTAGTTGATATGTTACTCGTCGTCAAGGAGTTGATGCTGGTGGTCATGGTTTTTTGCAGCTTTGATAGTCGTTTGTGTGTGGTTCGGCCGTCTTCATTCCAATGGAGGGAACTGTATGCCTAACACGCATTCATGAATTTAATGAATGACGGCAATTGCGTGATCATCATGCTCTACTCTTAATTTCTTACTTGGTGATGTTGCTTCTCTATTGACCACACGTTCTTAAGGAGAATTCTGAGATTCTTTAACTTCGGCTGCGACATTTTGTAAGGCTGCAATATTTAATGAACATGGCATAAAAAGGAAACGTTCGGCTATAATGTCGGGCTCATTAGTGAGGAGTTTCGTGATGCCCATTTCTTTTTCTCTCTGCAAAAGCATCTTGACTCCCTACGAAACTATCTGCTTACTCGAATCATCCAATAAAATCCATGCCATCCATTTTAAATGAAGTCCTTGCAAAGGCTCCTAAATGCATTGCGCAGATGGTCAGATGACAAAAACCTCAGCCGTTTGTTGCCAAGAAAAGTTTTTCGCTCTATTCAGTATAAGATAATCGGACACAATATGCCCAACATTTATAACGTATTCTAAGAAATGGAACTAGTTGTGGACCCTATTAAACTGGGCACAATAAACATAGAAATCGATTGGTGGTTCATTATTCCGTTTTTGGGTGCTCAATGCCATCTGGTGGGAATTCTTCTCCGCCTACATGACATATAGACGGCACGTGTTCTCATCACTGTCGTTATGAACTTGATCTAGTAGGTCTTCTTTATGGCCACAGAATTCCTATTATCATACTCGAAACGGAATACTGTGGCCGAGAAACATCTACCATGGAAGATGATTCCATTTATGCTTGCCTGAATTCAATTTATTAAGCGAAGTGTTTCCAGTGCCCGTGTGGGGCATAATGGAAACAATGGTCTTGGTCCTCGCACTTGTATTCATAGCGTAACGAAGTTACAGCGACATCTCTTGTACACCTCTTTGCTTAATTTTCGTAGAATTTCGAGGTTTTCATAAGTTTTGTTCTGTTCGTCGCTATTCTTTTCTGAGCAAGCATTCCTTCTGTTATCTTCTTTCTTCTAGTGATTATGATCACAAACACTTATGATTTGTGATACTGGAACTGGACTAATTCTTCCTACGGACGATTTTATCGGTTGCCGTGTGATCACGAATTCTCTTCTTCCTTGTTTTCAATTTAATTTGCCCACTAAGGGTGTCACAAGGAATCATAGAGCAGTTCTTGTTGACTCGACCGCTGCACTCTGAGTCGCTTTGCACTTGAAAGTTTACGAACAATAATCGTTTGCTGTCTGGCTTTCCCGCGATACTAATTGGCTAGACGTAAACCTCGTTCCCATCTGTACTTCCGCTTCACATTCCCCTGAGAGTGGGGTTTGCCCTATACTCGTCTGGACCATCACCTGCGATCTCCACGATCTCCACTGAACCTGCAACTACTCGTCTAACTGCTTCCAAATATTGATGGAAACTACAAAAATGACGACTGAACCCTTTAACCTTCTTCTACACTCTTGACTGAGTACTGAATTACGAAGCTAGACGGACTAGCGAATGCTGCTCCGTAGACTTCACTCGAGATCCGCCACACCTGCGGGTTGATGACGTCGTCGCCGACAATCTAGCTGATGAATGCAATGAACCGGTGGGTGATCTTCCAGTTTCAGTGTTAGTAGCGCGTCTTCCGTTCAGCGAGAAGGTAGCAAATTGTATTCGATACGAAACGACTCTGAAAACAAAAAAGTCACAACGGAATTGGGTGGTTTCGTCTGGAGTTATAAAAGCGCTTTGAAGATGGCGATATCTTCGCCATAGTGCTAGTCACAGTGAAAAATCCAAGCTTTCTAATAGGCCGAAGGGTTTATTAATAATGTCGAGGTTGAATAAAGATAGCTTTCGAAGACATGGCTTGTTAGTCAGTCCTCATCTGTGCACGTGTACGCAAACACGGCCTCATAAATGGTCAGTAAGGAAGTTGGAATATTTGGACTACATTTGCCCTTTTCTAACTAAAAATCTGACTACGTTTTGCTTCATTCTATGTTATTGTCAATAATTGTCGATTATAAAAACATATGGAGAGCGCTCCAGATGCCAATCCGTGCCAGGGCTCTCGAACCATAGCATCCATCCTAGGGCTACAATTTGCTATTAGGTGTGCTGTAACTCCTCATCCTTTCCCCTTTATGAAGACCCCGTTTTGCTTTTGGAACGATAAAGTCATCGTCAATGACTAGCTATCGTTTCTAGAAACGGCTAGGCAGTTTTTTTTTTCGCCAAAACGTTCCAAGTAAGAAATTAGGCCACTTATAATTTGTTTGGTCCTGTTAACTGTTTTATTACGTTCTCACGAAGTTTTTTGTTTTATTGTTAACACAAAGATTAGTGGAAGTACTACTGCAACCTTGTGGAGTTTTTATACTACGCCGACGTCACGTCAGTCGTTGAGAAAGTTGAGAGAAAAAGTTCGATACCGTCAGAGTGCAAATAATCTGAAATTGTGAAGAGATCTAAATTCTGTTATTCATTGACGCTTTAAGTTTCTACTAAATTGAGCGATGAAGATTTATAACGCTCGATCTGAAATGGTCCTCAATGGCGTTTTACTATTAATAAATTGTTCGGTTTACTCCGCCCTCCTATGAGATATGAAGGCATCACAATTTTTGCCTTTCCGTTTGCTGATTTTGTTGATCGAAAATATAAAAAATAAGTAGAGATAACTAGAAGCAGCTTGCAGGGTTTTTGTTTGGCATATATTTACTTAGATTGAATAAATACAGATTTTAAACTCGTCGCTCCCTTCCTCAGCAATCGCCAGGTTGTGAAACAGCACACGTTTACTTCCATACAATAACACATACAACACAACCGTAGCTGATGTTTCTGCCGAAAGAACCATATGCGACTCTGAGTGGCTCTTCTTCCTCGGTGGAAGACAGGTGAAAAAGCGGCTCTGAAGAATGCGATTCTGCCGAAACATCAGCTACGGTTGTGTTGTATGTGTTATTGTATGGAAGTAAACGTGTGCTGTTTAACAACCTCGTGATTGCTGAGAAAGAAAATGACTGATTTATAATCCAATGCCGAGGTGAATAGAAAACCGATCCTGGGAAATATAGATTTTATTGGATAGAAATGTTGACAGTCACAGTTTCGGCGACCTTTTTGCCTTAGATTTGTTGCTGCAGGCTTACTGGGAAACATTGGGTCAAAAAAACCTTTTTTGATATCTGTGAATTTATTACTCCAGAACTGACAGCACCATCCGTTAGCAGTCATTGATTTAGCGATCTTCCTTTTCTCCTTATTGCACAAGGGTTGTAATAGCTGTTGTTGGTACGTATGAAGTACTGGTCTCCAAAATCTAGACCGTTGAATTAAACAGTATGTGCACAAAACTGGGAACCTCAGTTGGGATTCGAACCCGCGACCGAGGTCCTTGTTTTGCCTTTTTTCTCCTTTTCTCTCTTTTTCCTTTCCTTTCTCCTATTACATCTTCCCTATCGTTGTTTTTCATATTGTGCCCTACCATAAAAAGAAGAGGCAGAAAATAAAAAGTTGAAACAGTGTTTTCTAATTTCACTCTATTCTGTCTAGGCATATAAATCATTTCGAGTTTTTCATAACTGCAGTATGAAATATCTGTACAATTAGTCTAGACTTTCCAAATTTTTTTCGAGGTAATCCTTCTGTTCTCACAAAGTATTTTCAGCAACGAATGATTGACAAATATCAGGCCGAAGAAGGTGCCGAGCAGGAGGTTTCGTTCGACAACGACGTCTGTTGTGTGTCTGTCTCGAGTCGCCAACGTGCATACATATCCATCTGGACATAGGATCAGTTGTAGATTGTGCGCTACGATTATGTTCAAGGTGAGGTACCTTCCGGTGTTCTACTGTTTCTTTTGTACATTTATGAAGGGTCCTTATGCTTAGAAACAGCCTTGATCGATAATCTATCTTCTTTAAGGAAGGGAAAACGAAATTGGAAAGAGTATAGTGACGAAAGATGTAGTAGAGTAAACGTTTATTAAGTGCCGTATTGCTATGTACCTGAATATCCTGATGGCCTTTTCACAAAATCGAGAGTTAAGGAAAGCTCTTCCCATACTCTAAGATAGCCATATCGCAGCTTTCTCACGTCTGCAAACCATCCAAGGGCTTCTCCAGGTCTGCCTCACTCCTGGAGCTCTGATACTAGTGGATCGGAGGTAGGCTTGCCACTTTGAAAGGATGTGGCAAAAGTAAACAAATGTTGGGGTGTTTAAAATCATTGGTTTGTTTCCTTCCACATCACTGCGGGTTCTGGTTCAACTGAGTCCTGCGGTATTTTGATTCATCGAAGCAAATGCTAGTGCTTTTTTTTCGATATTCGGCTGCCTCATCATTTAGTCCTAGGCAGCGTGGAATATCACTGTCATGGTGCTGTCGCCCACTTAAGAAGAAGTACGAAAGAAAAATCGCTGGCATGCGAGACAATAGTCACTTTTTTCAAATCCTTTTGTCTCTGAAGGTTCCATCATTCATATTTATCGCCGCTTAGAATCTACTTCAGGCCTCGGCAGAAGCTCAAGAGAAGTACTTTCGTTGCATCATATGCCGGTCGAATGTGCACCGGTTACGATATGTTCGATCCAATCCAATTGTGGTTTTGTGTAAGGTCAGTTCTGTTTTTCTTTCTTCGACTATTTTTCTTCAGTCCTCCTTTTTTCTTGAGCATTCCTCCAGGTTTTTACACATTTTTTAACGATTTCTGTGCGGTATTACCGGTTGATCGTTTTATATTTTAGCCTGAAGCACCATTCACCCTGAACGTTCTTCATCGTGGAGTGTTTAACTCATTGAGATGTCCGATCACTTCTTCGAGATCGACGATGTCGAGTTCGTTCCGTCTTGGATGAGCATCCATAGCTGATAATCTCTTTGACTAAGTCTGAATTCATTTGCGGTTGTTTGTTCGGAATCAACACTGATGGTTTTCTGAGCGCAAAGTCACAGCCACACACCAAAGCTTCAAATCTCAGAGCCATTGATGTTTTCTTAGATGTAGAATATATATGTATGTAAATATACACTGATTGATGGATCGTGTCCGTCATAATCAAAACTTCTTTTCTCTTACATCATGAATTTTAGGAGAAAATTGATGGCTGTCTCACATCTTTCCACGAGTTTACTGGTCACTGCCTGTTATTGTACATAATTGTTTCTTTGATTCTCGATTTTATAACGAAACTGGTTCTATCACTTAGAGAAAGCTGAAATAAAAATTTATCTCTGTGCTGCGTGGAATCTGTAGAAACGGAAGTTACAGGAAGAATAATGAACAGTTACTATTGAGATGACTTTAAAGTTACCTAAGCCATCGCAAGAAAAATGATCACAAAGTATACTTTTTACAATTTTAAATGACCTGAATCATTGTGCCGTTTCGAGCGCTTCCTTTTTTCCTTCGATGCGTTCCCTAGCATCCATCAACCACGGAGCTCATCGGATTTTGCGTGTGGGTTTCGTTACTGGTTCATGATCCCTGCTCTATGTGTGTCTTTGAACGTTGGTCGAGTACATAGAAAGGAGAGGGCGTAGCACTAGTTTTGTTTTGATACTTGGATGATTACAGGGATCATTCTAGCCTCAGCATCGACTTTATCGAATTGACCTGTTTTTTCTTTTGGTGGTTCCTGCAACTCTAAATTCATGGATCAATAGTGATGGAATACTCTTGTGGGATTTTGTAATTCTTGATTTAAATGCATGAAGGCTTCTGTTTCCTAATATCCACATACATAATTTGACATTGATTTCGCAAAATGGAACGGTAGATGCTGACATAATGGCTGATATCTCTTTGATAAGACTTAAAAAATCAGATTGTTGACCAGTAAGTGGCGTTAGTGTAGATGTAATGGGAAAACACAAAAGATAAAAATTAGTAAGATAGAGAAGGGTTGTATAAGAATGATGATGATTAGTTCCTCTGATAGGATGATGATGGATGGCAGTGGTAAGCGTTGTCTTGATATTATTCAGGACTACAGCGTTACAAACAAGTCCATGAGAAGTTGTTATTGTTATTTACAAGTTTTTAAAAAACACCTTAACTCAGCTATCTCTAACTTCCAGGGAAAACACCCTCGACCAGCAGTAAATTTGCTAACGAAGCCACAAACGAGCTGGAGCACTTCTGTGGATGACGGGTGCAAGACAATAAAAATAATACGTACGTAGGTAATAGTAGTAAGCTTCCCAACAGTTTACCGCCTCATCGTGGCTGGGAGGTTTTCCTGGGTTTCGGACTGCGATGTACAGCGGGGGGATTCGTCCTCACGGCAGGGTGTCCCAAGTTGAGGAGTCCGCCGTTTGTTTCCATCAGGAAGCCTAGTTGCTACTACTACTACTACTATTAGCCGAACAGCTGAAACGTCAGTTGAATGAAAATTTTGTGACAAGCACAGACAAAAAATCCAAAAAGCACATTCTTTCCTATTCCGCATTTAAAGTACTATTTTGAAAGTAACAATAGACATTTTCTTATTTCGGCAGTTTGTTAGGCCCTTACAAAGATTGTGTAGAAAGATTGGGCTTATAGATGATTGCGTTGAAACTCGCTCATTGTATGAAATAGAATAGGCGGTAAATAAAAGTTCAAACACTGTATTATCGACCGCAATCTCAGCTCAACAAGGTTCAATGCCAACTTGTGCTCCTCGAATCATTCCCGTTGACGGGTGATTGTTGATGGCACCGTTAGGGTAAAAAAGACTGGCTGAGAGAAAGGCAAAGCAAGGGCGGGGCGGGGTAATGCGTAACAATGAGCGCCGGGAAGTGTAATTGTGGGTTTGAAACTGGACTAGGTCCCAATTTTTGCAGACATTTCAGCACCATTGCAGATATATATCAATCATTATATCTTTTACCACTTCTCTCCAGACAGGGGAGAAAATCAGCATCAAAAACTGGAAAACCCATATCGTCTCTCCATACCACACCCTTCCAAGAACTTCTTAGGGCTCCAGGAAAATCGAACCTCCTTCATCCAGCAAAAGTCAGGTCAGTACAACAAACCTGTGCTGAAGCTAGAATGACCCCAGCAGTCAATCAAGCATCGAAGTAAAATTGCCACCGGTGATACCACTTGTTTTCATTTTGAATTCGCTTCTCGCTAGTGAAAGAATGCTGTTTACTACGGTACGACGAGAAATATACTGAGAATAAAATAATTTATGCACAATAATTAACAGCAACCTGCAGTTGTGGAAAGACATCAAGCAAACATCAGGTTCTCCTATAAGTTATATATATATATATATATATATATATATATATATATATATATATATATACTTAATACTTGAACGGCCCGTCCTCACTAGTTGTGCGGGCCCAGCATAATCACCATTTTTCGGAGATTTGCTGGTTAAGCCATTGTGGTTCCCTGGAATCCCAAGGACAGCCTGGCCAAAATATATATATACATATATATGTATATCTATATGTATATCTATATGTATATATATGCTACGTCGCATGCTAAGAAAAAGACTATCAATGGCTCAGATCTGGCGCTTCCATATAGGAACTGCGACTTTACACTCAGAACACCATCAGTGTTGATTCCGAACAAACAACCGCAACTGAATTTGGACTTAATCAAAGAGATTATCAACTATGGATGCTCATCCAGGACGGAACGAACTCGACATCGTCGATCTCGAAGAAGTGATCGGACATCTTAATGAGTTAAACACTCCACGATGAAGAACGTTCAGGGCGAATGGTGCTTCAGGCTAAAATATAAAACGATCAACCGGTAATACCGCACAGAAATCATTAAAAAATGTGTAAAAACCTGGAGGAATGCTCAAGAAAAAAGGAGGACTGAAGAAAAATAGTCGAAGAAAGAAAAACAGAACTGACCTTACACAGAACCACAATTGGATTGGATCGAACATATCGTAACCGGTGCACATTCGACCGGCATATGATGCAACGAAAGTACTTCTCTTGAGCTTCTGCCGAGGCCTGAAGTAGATTCTAAGCGGCGATAAATATGAATAGGAGACAAAAAGAAGAGAAAAAATTGACTATTGTCTCTCATGATTTTTCTTTCGTACGTTGCCTTAGATGAGCGACAACATCACGATGATGACATGCCTTAGAGGATCGGAATCAAAAGAATAAAGGACACAGTTCTCAGCGTTTGTCAATCCTTGAGGGATGCACCATGCATTCGACTTCACTAAGAATCGTTTGGAGGTGACTGAATGCATATCTGGCCTTTACAATGAGTCGTGGTGGCCTATCGATGTATCGAGCCAATGATGCTATTTTTTCAGACAAGTCTAGTACCAATTTGCTGACCCCGGAGGGATGGAGGGCTTGGTGTGCCAGGGAGGAGGGGATCGGTGCCATGTGTGTGTTACAAGGTGTCTCCAACCACTGCGCCACAGGAGCATGGAGTAGTTCCCCTTAACTGGTAAGACATCAAACAAATAGAAATTGTACCGTGACTGGAAAACATTTTTAAAAAGAACCACAGAGATGTTCAAGCAAATAAGAACACGGTACTCAATAACCGCTTAATTGACTACACATTTCGTCACAACACTTTCTATTTCGTTTTCCTTTATTTAAAGAAGATAGCTTATCAATCGAAGCCGTTTTGAATTGTACAGAAGTCTTTAGAAATGCATAAAATACACGGGAGAAGACTCCGGAGAGAATCCCACCTTGAGCATCATTGTGGCACACAATCTACAGCTGATCTTATGCCCGCATGGATATGCATGCACGGTGGCGACTCGAGACAGACACACGCAGCAGACGTCGTCGTCGAACGAAACCTCCTGCTCAGCACCTTCTTCAGCTAGACATTTGTCAATCATTCGTTGCTGAAAATACTTAGTAAAAGTAGGATTACCATAAAGGAAAGTATTTAAAGAAATAAACTTAAACTAACTGTGCCGATATTTTATGCAGTAGTTATGAGAAACTCAAGATAATTCACATGTTTAGATTGAACAAAGTTTAATTTCAAACAGAACTGCACCTCAACTTCTTATTTTTGGCTTAAAACGAAAGGTCTTCCGTGTTTTACCTCATCTTCCCTTCAGTTTTGTTTGTTAATCCACAAAAGAACGCAATGCCATTCAAGAGGCTGACTATGATCAGTTAAACGATCCGAATTTTGGAGACCAACACTTCACACTGTCAACAACCACTAATAACCTTCTGTGTATTTAGGAAGAAATAAAGGTCGCTAAAAAAAATAACTGCTGGCGGACGATTGTAATCGGCCAAGGTGATTCCCAATGACGACAAATATGGAATAACTGAATTCCCAGATATCAAACTTTTGCAAACCATTGTTTCGCAGTAAGCCTGCAGCAATATTTGGCTTTGGAGTGAACCTATCAGCACTTAACCCGAATGTTATAGATCCATCTCCAATTTTATGCTTTTCATGCAGTAGATTATTGGGTTTAGCACAGCACTTGCAGCACTGAGTGAGGGGTTCATATACTGGAAGGTCATCAAAAATGTGGGTTTCGACATTTGTGTCCATTGGATTCTGAGTGAATTCGTGCTATAGCAAAACCCTGAAAGCCGATTTTAGTTGTATTATTGTTAAAGTCAGCAAGAGAAAAAACGGAAATCGCGATGCCTTCATATCCCGTAGGAGAGTGGAGCACACCGAACAGATAATGGTGCAACTGTGGACCATTTCAAAAAGGATATTCTAAATCTTCATTCCTCAAATTAGAAGAAAATTGAGACATCAACGGATATCAGAAATGAGATCTTTTCAAAATATCATATTATCAAGATTCTCATGGTGTGAAGAGAACTCGTCTCCAATTTCTCACAATAGATGAATGGGAATCATTCCATCATTTCTCAACGAGTGACGTGACGTCGGGCTACGACGAAAATTCCGTAAGTTTGCAATAGTACTTCCGCTGATCTTTACATTGAGAGTAAAATAAAAGAATGTTGGAATAAAAAACCAACAGAATTTCACGTGACCTGATTTCTCACGTGGAACGTTTTGTCGGAAACAAAACTGAATAGTCGTTCTAGAAATGATACCCAATCTCTCATGACGACTTTATCATTTACAACTCAAAACGGAGAGTTCGCAAAGAGGAAAGTATGAGGGGTTACAGTAGGTCTGATATCCTATTGCAGACCTCGGGCCAATGGAGTGCTTCGATAGCCCCCGACACAGATGGGAATGAGGAGCGATCTCTGCATGTTTTTATAATCAGCAATTATTGACGGCAACATAGAATGAAGTAAAACGTAGCCAGATTTTTAGTTAGAAAAGAGCAAATGTAGCCCAAATATTCCAACTTCCTTACTGACCATCTATGATGCCTTGTTTGCGTACACATACACAGATGAGAACTGACTAATATGCGATGTTTTCGGAAGGCTATCTTTATTCAAAATCGACATTATTAAGAAACACTTCGGTTTACTACAAACTTTGTATTTCTTACTATTACTGATACTACCGTGGATATATCGGCATTTTCAAGAAGCCTTCATGACTCCAGTCGAATCCACCCAATTCCGTTGTCACAGAGTCGTTTCTTATCGAATGGCACTTGCTATCTTCTCACTGAACAAAAGACGTCCTACCAACACAGGAGCTGGAGGATTCCACCGGTTTCCTCCATTCATCAGCAAGATTGTCGACTGCGACACCACCGACTTGAACTGTGGCGGATAGCGAGTGACACCTACGGGGCAGCACTGCACTCAGTTAACAGCGAAGAGGAAGGTTAAAGGCATGAGTCGTCATTACTATAGTTTCTGTTAATATTTAGAAGGAGGAAGAGTGCTTGCAGATGCAGTTGATGCAGTTGAAGATCCTAGATCATGGTCCACACGAGTATTGGGTGAACTCGGTTCTATGGGAAATCTGAAGCGAAAGTACAAATGGAAACGACGTCGATGTCTACACAATTACTATTGCGGGAAAGTCAGACAGCAACTGATTGTTGTTTTCGAGTACAAAGTGACTGAGAGTGCAGCGATCAAGTCAACAGGCGTCGCTCTATGATCCCTTACTACATCTTTAGTGGTGAAATTAAATTAAAAACAAGCAAGAAAAGAATAATTTTAGCTCGCCAAGGCAACCGATACAACCGTTCATAGGAAGAATTAGTCCAGTTCCAGTATCACAAATCATAAGTGTTTGTGATCATAATCACTAGAAGAAAGAAGATAACAGAAGGAATGCTTGCTCAGAAAAGAATAGCGACGAACAGAACAAAATTTATGAAAACCTCGAAATTCTACGAAAATTAAGCAAAGAGGTGTACAAGAGATGTCGCTGTAACTTCGTTACGCTATGAATACAAGTGCGAGGACCAAGACCATTGTTTCCATTATGCCCCACACGGGCACTGGAAACACTTCGCTTAATAAATTGAATTCAGGCAAGCATAAATGGAATCATCTTCCATGGTAGATGTTTCTCGGCCACAGTATTCCGTTTCGAGTATGATAATAGGAATTCTGTGGCCATAAAGAAGACCTACTAGATCAAGTTCATAACGACAGTGATGAGAACACGTGCCGTCTATATGTCATGTAGGCGGAGAAGAATTCCCACCAGATGGCATTGAGCACCCAAAAACGGAATAATGAACCACCAATCGATTTCTATGTTTATTGTGCCCAGTTTAATAGGGTCCACAACTAGTTCCATTTCTTAGAATACGTTATAAATGTTGGGCATATTGTGTCCGATGATCTTATACTGAATAGAGCGAAAAACTTTTCTTGGCAGCAAACGGCTGAGGTTTTTGTCATCTGACCATCTGCGCAATGCATTTAGGAGCCTTTGCAAGGACTTCATTTAAAATGGATGGCATGGATTTTATTGGATGATTCGAGTAAGCAGATAGTTTCGTAGGGAGTCAAGATGCTTTTGCAGAGGGAAAAAGAAATGGGCATCACGAAACTCCTCACTAATGAGCCCGACATTATAACCGAAGCTCATAAAGCGGCTCACGACTGTTACGCAAAAAGAGTTAACGACTAGACGGCCTCTATTTCTAACTTTTTTGTTCGTTTCCTTTTTATGCCATGTTCATTAAATATTGCACCCTTAGAAAATGTAGCAGACCAAGTTAAAGAACCTCAAAAATCTCCTTCAGAATGTGTGTTCAACAGAGATGGAATTGAATAAAGTAAGATATGAAGAGTAAGGATGCCTCATTCGAGGAGATGGCTCACTGAAGAAGACCTGTCTCGACACGAAGGCGAAGCTGACACGTCGAGACGAATAACAAGCGAGGACCATCGACTCGGATCATCGGCTCTGAGGAAGACGAAGACGTCGAAATGTTAGCGGAAAATAAACATCATTATCGACCTCGTGTAAGCTCATCAAAGAAAGAATACATATAAGATATGAAGAGTTAAAATGCACGAGAATGCCAATAACCAATATGTGTACCCACATCACTGTCGCCACGTCTTATATAGACACTTACTTCTGAAGGTTCAGTCATGTAGAGGAAAGAATGACGGCTATGGAGCTGCCGTCATTAATTACGTTAACGAATGAGTAAGAACTACAGTTTTCTCGCCTGAAGCGAGGAAATCCCCATTTTATAAACCTCTATCAAAGCTGCACAAAGACCGGAATCACTAACATCAACTTTCTACGGCGATGTACATATCAACCAAATGAGAACCAGTTTACAGTAGGTTGAAGAATCTCACATAGTCAGCAAAGTTCGAAAAAATTGAGAGCTAGCGATTTTCTAATTATTGCAGAAAGAGCTGAGAAGCACGACATTCCCACCTTCGAAACTCCAGTTAAGAACAAACCAATGCTAGGTACAACTACCGTTCTGGTGGCAACCTAGCCATGAAAGCTAAAAAAAGGATAAAGCTTTCGGTGTTGATCAATCCCTCAGGGATGCGCCATGCATTCGACTTCATGCTTGGTGAGCAGTGGGCGCGCGGATCGATTCCATGTGCATGTTGAAACGCGCCTCCGACCACTGCGCCATATGCGCATTCTAGTCATGGGTGGGAAATCTTCCTCCTTGTTGTCGATAGAGATCGGGACCAAGCGCCTGTTGTAGCGAGTTTGGAGCGAATTGCCACGGATTTCTTGGGACCTCAGGAGAAGACACTTCGGAAAATATACGTCATTGTCACAGTGGTAATGCGACAAACAGATTCATTTCTACAGAAAGCAGAAAAGAGTTGGAGAATAATAAGCGATTATAAACCATTGACGACAATTCATTTTATCGTGGTGTATTTTACTATTGTCATTACTTTGTTCACAAAGACCGGTAACAACAATGAAGACGACATGACATAACAAGATCACTCATATCGTTCACCTACAGAAGAACCAATGACGCAACGAAAAGAATGCAAAGAATTTGTCCAGACCTTTGTGACAACCCCTCCTTCCTCTCGCATTACTTATCACTCGTAAACTTTTTATCAGCTGTATAAGGCGGACTGCCTTGCATTCGACTGTCACAAATAACTCATTCGGCCACCAACGAAGACTTCATTTGTCATTGTCACATATAAGGATTCATTTATCCAAATGTACATTGCTCGCGACCAATGAAAACGAAGAGCTCAACGTTTCTACTGGCCGAAAACTCTTCGTAAACAACCCTGGTGAGTTTCCTTGGAACTCCGTGAAGTCTACTAAGATCTCCTCATTTATTCAGTGCACTCCACTACACGTGAAATTTCACCAAAATCGTCCTGTATGCGATTACGTCAACTGATCTAACCGACTGATTAATTTCTTCAACAGACACTTTTGGAACGAGTGAACCAGACTGGTGCTGAACTCGTTGACGAAACAGCAAACACGAATTGAAAAAAATAG